ATTCCATTAAAAGAGGTGTGGAGATGGACAATGGTGGTCTTGTGAGGTGTCTTCCCGGAGCTACTGCTCACAAAGACAGGAGACGTATCTGTAATATTGTTAAGCAAGCAAAGCAGGAAGGGGAATTGGATGTACTTGTCCATCTAGGGACAAATGACTTGGCTTGCAATGAGGTTTCAGAGGTTAAGGAAGTTTTAGTGTTTTTGCCAATGATATACGGCAGGTTGCTTCCACACTGTCATTCTCTGAAGTTCTGCCTGTGCATAACACTCAGAACGACAGGCGGATGCCTATTAGGGACTTTAATTTGTGGCTTGGTGAATGGTGTCGGGAGCAAGGATTTGGCTTTATTTCTCAGTGGTTTGCATCTTTCTCAAAACGGAACAAATGTTCTCAGTGTGGCGGGGGCGTGGCCTGGGCTCCGACGAACATGGCCGCCTAAGCGCTGAACTCCGTTCCATGACAGCACACAGAACGGAGCAACCCACTGCTAACCCGCACGCACTGCCACCAATGGGTCGCACAAAGAGAGGGGACCTACCCCAGACCCCCAAACCTTCCTCTTCAGGGTCGCAAACGGGGCCGATGGACGAATATCTCCATGCGCCGTGCGGCCCGGACCCCAGCTCCCCGACATCCAAAATGGCGCCGACCTCGCCAGCATCCACATGCTCCACTGCCGACACCACTACACTGGCAGATATCGGAGCAGAATTAAAACGCATGGCAATGATGATGGTCACAAAGGATGACCTCACCCACCTGACAAACAACCTACACAAAGTAATTAAAGCTGAAGTGACCGGCCTGAAGGCTGAAATTAAAGCACAGGAACACCGCATACAGCAAGTAGAAAAGAGGGCACAGACCACTGAAGACCACTCTGCAGCCACAGACACGGCCCTTAAACGCCAAGGCACTCTCATACTGGCCATGAGGCGACAGCTGGAGGACCAGGACAACCGCAGTCGCCGCAACAATATCAGGGTAAGGGGGATACCTGAATCTCCAGAGGGGGAAAACATAGAGGAGATGCTCACCTCCCTATTCCGCATCATCTTAAGGGAGGACACACCAGCGCTTATTAAATATGACAGGGCACATATAGCACTCCGTCCCCGGCCCACGGAAGGGACCCCCAGGGATATAATATGCTGCCTACACTCCTTCGCCATCAAAGATCTGATCATGAGGAAAGCTAGGTCCAGGGCCCACTGGAACTACAGGGGCACAGAAATATCCCTCTACAATGACCTATCACCTATGACCCTAGAAGCTAGAAGAGCCCTGAGACCGGTTACCACCATCCTGAGGGAGAGGAATATGCAATATAGATGGGGCTACCCATTTAGCATCACAGTCCGCTATAATAACGAATGGGTCTCCGCACGATGGCCAGAGGACATCCCTCAATTCCTACAACGCCTGAACCTGCCGCCAACCCCCGTCCCGAACTGGGTATTCATGCCGCTGGATCCAAGACCACAACCGCAGCGACAAGCAAGGCGAAGAAGATGGAATTCCCCGGGTGAAGCTCCGCGACACCGACCAGATCTAAACAACCCGGAGGAATAACCCACTACCTGACCACAATTCCGAGACAACACAGACAGCTGGAGCCCACGTTGGAGAAGCGCCTGGATGCAAACCTGCACCCCAAGAATCAGGTACTTTGACATTGGGTAGCTAACACATTGACACGAGACTGAAGGAGGGGACACCCCCCGGGTGCGGGAAGGCACCACTCTTCACCTTGGGACAGACCGAACTAAGGGATATCTCACTAGCAAATGGGTCCTCCACAATACAAAAGGGTTCTAAACAATAAAAAATAAATAAAAAAAAGGGGGACGAAAAGGGAGGGGCGGGAGGAAAAACAAAGCAGGGGAGTAAGACCTATTGGGGAGGGGGATTAAAGGGGGGAGGGTTGGGGACATAGAGATCGGGTCCTAGAGACCGCCTGCAGCATTGACGCTCGTGAAGACGAAGAACTGATTCCGTACAGAATCTATAGCTGATTTTGAGGCCCGAGACTGCTCCTTACTGTATAAATGTTGAGAGTAACCTATTTTGAAAGGCTAGAATATGCAATCTCACTCTGTGTTATTTACCAGGGGACTGACATGTACAGACAGCATACACCCAAAGAGGCCTTTACACTACACACAATCACAAGTGCCTCATTTAGATGGCACACTGATGACGGGAGGACACTGGGCAGACGGCCATCCCACCACCCCCTGGAGGCTGTGAAATATGAACGTCAGAGTGAACAGGGTGAGGGTGTAGAGAAAGGGGCGGGAGGCGGGGCGGGGGGAAATGGGGGGGAGGGGGGAAAGAGGGGAAAAAAATAAAAATAAAAATAAATAAATACATAAACATGATCCAGATGTAACGACCCAGACATAATGTGAAGAGGACCCATACTGCACACACCCCGAAGAGATATCCTCTAGTCCCTACTTTGACTACACGCAAACTACCCTCAAGGTACATCCCCCCCACTCGACACCAGCGACACCGAAAAGACGCAACAAACAGGCATAGTGCTGATAACACTACAAGCACACACAAATGGCATTAGTGATGACTATATAACAACTCTACTACAGTGAACGGACGCTACAACCCCAAACGGAAACACACCCCTACACAACTAACAGACCATACTAACGATACACAACCTTTCTCAAGTGTCAACTCTACAACTAACACCGCATATACCACACAGGCACCATAGCCTAAATGGATAAGGGCCCAGACGCGCTACCCACCTCTCTCGGTGCGCACGCTTGATACTACGGAGGTCGACTGGTACACCACCGGGATATATCTCGGGGTGACCTCCGACCGACACCGTAGGCACACGAACTCCCTCTCCACGGAGAGGTCCACCTCCTTACATCACCACGACACGCACACCACACCTATCCTACTCTCCAACATCCAAATAAGAAACACACACCCCCGTCACACGGACCAGGCTCGGAGTCTAACGTAACCGAAAGACACTGAGCCTGAGCAGACACAACTCCCCTAGACCACACAGGAGCGGATACCAACGCCCCATGAACGCCAGCCACCTCACGCACGACCACAGCCCGGCAACCCACCCGAACATCCCACCCCCCCCTTGCACTCCTGACCCGGCCGTCGCGCCTGCCTCGAGTCAACCACCAGACGGCGCAGAGGTACCGAACCGCATTAAAAACCCAGGAATTAAGCTACGAGATCGGGCTTCCTTGGTCGACTCCCGCGTCCATAAGAGAGCGGGACGCGGACGGGGGACCCTGGTACCCGACGAGACACCACCATTGCGCAGAGATACAGACAAGATGGCATACAGACCAGACCCGCTAAAAATCATCACGCAAAACTGCAGGGGATTGAATCTCCCAGAACGCAGAACTAATCTTTTGAGGGAACTTCAGAGAGAGAGGGTTGCAATAGCTCTTCTCCAAGAAACTCACTTTCGAGAAGGAGCGGCCCCGACACTCAAGAACAAACACTACCCCACTAACTACTACGGCAACCACCCTACAGCGAAAAAGGCAGGGGTCGCGATCCTGATAGCAGCTCGTCTACAATTCCAGGAGCAGGATCGCCTTATAGACCACAACGGCAGATACACCTTCGTCAAGGGGAATATCGCAGGACGATGTTACACGTTCGCGACAGTATACATCCCCAACAACAATCAATCTAGATTCCTCAAGAACACACTGAAGGCACTAACAGACTTCACGGAAGGAACTTTGATCGCGGGAGAAGACTTCAATGTCACACTAGATCCTAAAGTAGACTCCTCAACGGGACACAGCAGCATCCCACAGAGAGAAATAAGAACCATACACCACACTCTGAAAACACTACGCCTGGTAGACTGCTGGCGAACACTGAACCCACTAGACAGAGAATACACTCACTATTCCACAATACACAAAAGATACTCCAGGATAGACTTCCTACTTCTGCAACAGGAAGCTCTAATAAGACTTAGGAGAGCATCCATACACGCTGCAACGTGGTCGGACCACGGACAAGTATCGATGGACCTCGAATCTCCCCTCATAAGACCAACGAAAACGACGTGGAGACTCAACGACTCCCTTTTAACAGACCTCCCACTGAGGGCCCAAGTCACCGACACCCTAAAGACATACTTCACTGAGAATGAGACGGGAGACGTATCTGATATGACAGTGTGGGAGGACCACAAAAGTGTACTCCGGGGCAAGCTTATCCAAATCGCGTCACAACGGAAAAGAGAGGCGGGCGCAATTATGTCAAACATTCTACACCGGATTCGCTCCTTGGAAACACAACACAAACGTCACCAGGTGGAAGATACCTACAAAGAACTATTAGAGGAAAGAAGACGGCTACACGCACTGCTACTCAAGAGACACCTGAGACAACTCCGTAGATCTAAAGGATTCTTCTACCTCCATGCAAACAAAGGGGGCAAACTCCTCGCACAAATGCTCAGGGGACAGCAACACCCCTCACAAGTCCACAAATTAAAAACACGCGAAGGCACTACTACCCAACACCCGGAGAAAATCGCCAAGGAATTTCTAACCTACTACTCCTCGCTCTACAATACACATACACAAAGCGACGACGAAGGCAGACGAATCAAACAAGGCCGCATGGAATGCTTTTTAAGAGAACATCTCCACACGACGGTGACGGCCGAAGATGCAGAAATCATCGACCGCCCGATCACCGAAAACGACATTAAGGCGGCTATCAAAACGACGAAGACAGGACGCGCACCCGGACCCGACGGACTCACGCTGGACTACTACAAACGCTTCCAAGATATACTAGCCCCCAAACTCACAAAGGCGCTCAATGCCATCACTGAGGGACATACATTCCACGCTGAATCATTATCGGCTACAATTACGGTAATCCCAAAACCAGGCAAGGACCCGGAAATCTGTGGCAGCAACAGACCCATCTCCCTATTAAACGTGGACACAAAACTCTTCACCAAAATATTAGCCACCCGACTTAGCAACCTAATGCCAACACTCGTGCACCCTGATCAAATGGGGTTCATACCGGAAAGGGAGGCTCGAGATAGCACTCTGAGAGTCCTCGCTATACAACATCTGGCGAGACAACACGGATCACCACTCCTGCTACTCTCCACGGACGCCGAAAAGGCGTTTGACCGAGTTGACTGGGCATTCTTGAAAACGGCGATACGTCTATTGGGGTTTAACGACAACATACAGAAATGGATCGGAGCGATATACAGCACCCCGACGGCAGCGGTGCGCGTTAACGGAGCCCTGACGGAGTCCTTCCCGATTCGAAATGGTACGAGACAGGGTTGCCCCCTGTCCCCGCTATTGTTCGCACTAACATTGGAACCCCTATTGGAGGCAATCCGGCGAAATATTAACATCACGGGCTACACCTGTAAAACCGCCACACACAAAGTTGCCGCATACGCGGATGACATGTTGTTCTTCATTACACGTCCGAGACTCACCCTACCATGCCTAACGGAAGAATTTGAAAAATATGGACACCTCTCGGGCCTCAAACTTAACTGCTCAACATCACGAACCCACTGGGGGAACACAGGGATATAGCCTCGACCTTCCCGTTCCGATGGTGCCAATCCCAAATGAAATACCTGGGGATATGGGTGATGGCGGACCCCAGCACCATCTACCAGAAAAACTTCCTCCCACTCCTCACGCGCATTCAACAAGACCTCCGAACCTGGAATTATCCACACATCTCATGGTTCGGCCGCATAGCGGTCATCAAAATGAATATACTACCCAGACTACTATATCTGTTCCATACGATCCCAATGGCATTACCGACGACCTTTTTCGTGACACTGAAAACCGCATTCCTGACCTATGTCTGGAGAGGATGCAGACCTCGACTAAGATATGAAATACTATGCAAGACCAGGAGTCAGGGCGGATTGGCACTCCCAGACCTGCGCAAATACCACCAAGCGACAGCCCTACAACGGATACTGGAATGGCATATTAACCCGAGATGCAAACAATGGGTGGCCTTGGACAAAGAATCATGCAGCCCATCCATTTTTGCATCCCTATGGAATCAGAAAACGCCACGGAACAATGATCCCGACGTACCCTCCCCGGTGAGCCACAACCTCAACATATGGTCAACAATGAGGAACACAGCGACCATCTCCCCAACA